TAATGTTGCTCTGGTTTGCTGCAAAGGTCTTTTCAGGATAATAATACACACTGATGCACAGTACAAATGAGGATAGTGTAAAAATTACTGCTGTTCTGAATGACAGAAAAATACACCCATGAGGAATTTAGCAAGTTTCATTCTACTTAACTCTTCCTTAACTGTGCTATTAAGGATTTGTTATGGAAGGTTCTATCTAGGCATAATCGGACCTACATATGCAAACATACCAAGTTGGATGTAATCAATAAAGGCTGGAATACTTTTGGCCACATTTTTGCTTTAATTTACAGTATGGTTGCCAGAAGTCAGAACAGAACTGCAGATTTGAGTTGACAGATTTCACAGAAAATTGTGTATATATGATGGTCACAGACTCTGATTTAAAAACATTTTTGTTTCAGACTATGATTTCATCCAGTCAGAAGATGTAAAATTGAAATTTTGAGCCAATTTTAGAACACATTTTGCTTTCATTTGTCATGTGCCTCCTAGCAACGAGGCACGTGTTTATGTTTATAGTGTTTGGGAAGATATGAAAGTCTGGCACTGTGTGGTCCTTTGTAGTTTTTCCTCTGTAACTGTTTACAAAGTTGGCAAGTGAATGATGCCTTTAGTGTTCAGTTTGTAAAAGTCGTATTCCAGCCTTAAGTTGTCAGTCATTTCAGCTGTTTTGTTTACATACCGATTTAGTCAATTCAAGTGATAACCAGTGGTTTCAAGATGAGCAACAAACTTGGCTGCAAATTGGTAAAATGTTACAAATTTTTTAAAGTCTCATTCATACTGTACTGTATTTTTTTGTGAGAGGTGACAGTTTCTCCGTTAAGAAAGCATGTAGGCTATTTCATCCCTCAATTTGTACACTAGGTAGACCATACGCTTCCACAACCATTTTACATCTGTTCAGCTCCTATTTCAGCATACAGGGCCTTGAGATGTCAGATATTAAGAGCACTACCATTAATGTAGTTTACAAATTTGTCTTTCAGTGTTTCTTATCACCACTTTAGGCTGGATGGGTTTCCTTTTGATTCCAAAGCTTCACAATGAATAAAACCAACCAATATTCTGTTCTGCTACATTCTTGATCCTTCTGACAACTCTGCTATTTTTGCCAGTGATATTGACCACCCTGTCGCTGGCAAAACCTTTGCAACAGGCCCAATCCAAACTCTTTATTCATGAAAGCAGTGCTTGAAGTGGGCCGGTACGCACCGGTACACAGTATCGGCACTTCAATATTTTAGTCTTTAGCGTACTGGCACTTTTTCCATGCATACCGGCACTTCTGACATGTTGCCGATACTGAGTCAAAGCATCTGTCTGGGTGATTAGAAATGACACTATAAAGCACACTACCCAGGAGGACATTTGAAACCGGTAAACTTTTGGAAAGTTCACTAATGCAGAGAAAACACAGACAATTTCATCAGAGATGGTGGAGAGAATGGCTCGCGTCCAGATGGCAGTAAAGTATTATTTTCAGTGTGTATTTGGCTTAAAAGCATGAGTGTTTTATAATGAATAGCGTGTATTTGGCTTAAAAGCATGAGTGTTTTATAATGAATGCCGGCTGAATGTGTTTTAGATTATACGCTGATCAGTGGTTTAGTTATTCTGAATGGATCCATATAGTAACATGTACAGTCAGGTTAACGTTAACAAATGTGACAGGTCACATTTAGTGGTCTTTTGGCTTCTCCCTGTGGTCCTGTTTGGTATCGCAGCTTAACTGGTGCCTATTTATATTAAAGATGCTCTAAACAATTTCTTTCTTTCTTTCTTTTTTCTTTCTTCTTTCTTTCGGCATTATATACATGCATTGAGAATTATTAAAATGTATTAACTTATGTATGTATTTTATTATATTGGGTTGGGGGGGGATGGGTGTACCGGCACCTCTTTTTTCCACTTCAAGCACTGAATGAAAGTATTTAACTAAAAATATGTTTACCTGAAGCAATATAATGTTAGGCAGCACAGAATATCTTCAACAAATTCACCTAGCCAAAATTACTGAGCATTACAACCAGTAATGTAGTGCTTGATGTAATGTCAGTGCATGCTCTCGTCCTGCTAAATATCAGAATCCTTTGCTGATTTCCATCTCGCAAGGAGTTGTTTTTCCAAACAAGCCACATTTTTGCTTTAATTTACAGTATGGTTGCCAGAAGTCAGAACAGAACTGCAGATTTGAGTTGACAGATTTCACAGAAAATTGTGTATATATGATGGTCACAGACTCTGATTTAAAAACATTTTTGTTTCAGACTATGATTTCATCCAGTCAGAAGATGTAAAATTGAAATTTTGAGCCAATTTTAGAACACATTTTGCTTTCATTTGTCATGTGCCTCCTAGCAACGAGGCACGTGTTTATGTTTATAGTGTTTGGGAAGATATGAAAGTCTGGCACTGTGTGGTCCTTTGTAGTTTTTCCTCTGTAACTGTTTACAAAGTTGGCAAGTGAATGATGCCTTTAGTGTTCAGTTTGTAAAAGTCGTATTCCAGCCTTAAGTTGTCAGTCATTTCAGCTGTTTTGTTTACATACCGATTTAGTCAATTCAAGTGATAACCAGTGGTTTCAAGATGAGCAACAAACTTGGTTGCAAATTGGTAAAATGTTACAAATTTTTTAAAGTCTCATTCATACTGTAATCAGAATCCTTTGCTGATTTCCATCTCGCAAGGAGTTGTTTTTCCAAATTCTTGGCAATATCCCCAATTCACAGTAGGTTCCATTAACCTTCAAACTGCACAAATTGAAATTGCGAATTGAAAATATGCCTAATGGAAACGCGTCAATTTCGCAAAAACGCCCATATATTGCAAAAAAAGTTTTTACGCTTGCATGAGGTGGTTTTTCAGGCAATGCGAAAAAGTAATAATTAGCAAAACTGCAATGGAAACGGCTTTTTCGCATTTACAGGTCACATGGTATATGTAAAAAGTCATTTGATCATTCTTCAGTGTACTATAACCTCCAAAAAACACATCATACGTGGCCGCTCTCCAGTATAAGGGGCTTTCACTACCATTAATGCTTAGACAATTTACACTGCACACGTCTG